GTGGCTTGTGCCTATAATCCCAGCACTTTGGGAGGCCAAGGTAGGTGGATCACAAGGTCAGGAGTTTGAGACTAGTCTGGCCAACATGGCAAAACTCCATCTCTACTAAAAATGTTAAAAAGTTGCTGGGCATGGTGGCAGGCACCTATAAGTCCAGCTACTCAGGAGGCTGAGGCAGGAGTTGCTTGAACTCAAGAGGCAGAGGTTGCAGTGAGCCAAGATCGCGTCATTGCACTCCAGCCTGGGCAACAAAGCGAGACTCTGACTTAAAAAAAAAAAAAAAAAAAAAAAAAAATTTGCCAAAATGGTTATCTCTAGGGAGGGAAAATGGTGGCTCAGAGATGAAGGATAGCAGAATGACTTTACACTGTTCCTATTCCCCTTTGGACCTTTTGGATTTTGAACTACATGAAAGTGCTACCTCTTTCTCAAAGTAAATTTAAATGTAAATTTAAAAACATATAATACGAGTTAGAACAGAGGCAGTAGTTAGGTGAGTTGAGGTGGAACATTTCAGAGATAGGATGTAGCAGAAGAAGGGAAAAGCAAAAAATTATTAGTTTCTGTTGGACTCTAGAATTCTGCGTGGTGTTTCAGTCTGAAGTAAGTATTCCTAAGATGTTCAAATTTCTTATACTCTTAACTCTTTGCCCCATCTGCCAGGCACGGTGTGTCACACCTGTAATCTCAGCACTCTAGGAGGCTGAGACGAGAGGATTGCTTGGGCCCAGGAGTTAGAACCAGCCTGGGAAACATACTGAGACTCTGTCTCATTTGTAAGATAAGCCAGTAAATAAATAAATAAATCTTTGCCCAACCAACAGCTCTCAACTTCTCACAAAAAATGATACACTGAGAAAGAAGTATCCCAACAGTGGACACAAATATTTAGGTCATCAGAAAGGTAGTCAGCCCTCCATTAGAAATGGGTTCTGCACCTGTGGATTCAACCAACTGCAGATTGAAAATATTTGAAAAAATGGCTGGGCCCCGTGGCACATGCATGTAGTCCTAGCACTTTGGGAGGACAGCTTGAGCCCAGGGGTGTGAGGCTGCAGCAAACTATAATCACACCACCATATTCCATCCTGGGTGGCAGAGCAAGACCTTGTCTCTAAAAAAAATAAATAAGAAAGAAAATATTCAGTAAAAAATGGATGGTTGTGTCTGTACAGAACATGTGCAGACTTTTTTCCTTGTCATTGTTCACTAAATTCAGAGTAACAACTACTGACATAGCATTAACATTGTATTAGGTATTATAAGTAATCTAGAGATAATTTAAAGTGTAAAGGGGGATGTATATAAGTTATACCAAACACTACGCCATTTATATCAAGGACTTGAGCATTTGTGGATTTTAGTATCCCAGCAGGTTCCTGGAATCAATCCCCCATGGATACCAAAGGACAACTGCAGATCCTTTCATGGCAAGTAAGACAGTATCCAGTTTAAAACACAGTCTCTGAAGAGGTAGCTTAGCAGTTATTTCTCACACTGATAAAATCTGGAATTGCAGAGCTAGAGGTTAAACCTTGGACCAGCATGACCTCAAGTACAAAAGAGATATGACCCATACCCAAAAATGGAACCGTCTCAACCAGCCAGAGTTACCATTGACATATCTGGAATTTTCATTTTGTCCTCTGTTCCATCACTACCTAAGTCAGTCCAAAAGTTCACCCTAAAAGTCTTATCAACCCCAGGGCTTTGGGTAATGAAGAAAACACATCTTGAGCCTACAGCAAATCATAGCATTTCTTTAAAAGGCAGTATCAAAGTAGTTTCCTTTCCCACACTGAAATTACTGGAATGGCTTAGTGGTCCCAGAAACTGGTGAGGCTCGTGCCCAAGCAAGTTAAAAACCCCAGGAACAACAAAACTTGTACTAAGTAAAAAGAACACATGCTTGTTCTCTATTCTGATGTTTCTTTGTTTTGTTTTGTTTCTGAGACAGGGTCTTGCTCTCTCACCCAGGCTGGAGCGCAGTGGCATTCGATCATAGCTCACTGTAGCTTTGACCTCCTGGGCTCAGGTGATCCTCCTGCCTCCACATCCTGAGTAGTTGGGACTACAGATGCACACCACCACACCTGGCTAATTTTTTAATTATTTGTGGACACGAGGTCACACTATGTTGATCAGGCTGGTCTTGAACTCCCGGACTCAAGTGATCCTCCCTCCTTGGCCTCCTAAAGTGCTGAGATTACAGGTTTGAGCCATCACACCGAGCCTCTATTTTGAAGTTTAAATCACATACCTTAAAAGACAATTAATAAATGTTCCTAAGTATAAGAATTTTTTAAAAAGTCATTGCCAAAGAGTTATTTTGGGACATTGCAAAAATACCTGCTCATAGGTCCATAGTTTATGCCACAACATCAAACTGGGTAATAGACGAGCAATCACTCACCATATTCAGTTACCTTTCAATTTTTCAGGAAAGGACACAGGAATACAGGTAAATAAACTCAAATCCAAATCTCATTTTAGCCAACACTTTTTAAAATTCCTCCTCCAATGAAACGTATTTTTTATCAGAGCTAACATGTAACAATCTACTGATGCAAATGTCTTTTCCTTCAACCATCTGACAGTTGTCCAAATGATCATTACGACAACCAAAATCAGAAAACAGGAGGGGAAAAAGAGGGGACTTCGAGGGGTGGAATGGCATAGATAACTCATAAATTGCATAAATGGAGGTCTCAACAAATGCCTATTTGTCATAATTAAAAGATGACTGACCCATTGTCATCTCATTTTTAATACAATGACCAAGTCACTGAAGCCACTCCATAAAATGTAAAACTAACTTTTGAAAAGAAATTGTTTGAGGATCCAGGATTCTATCATGAACAGTAGTTAATAAAGTGTGCAAGCCAGCAGTTACTAGTTCTCATTAAGAATTCTGATATTTCATATTCTGATCCCCAGTAAGGTTATTAATAAAAAGCAATGGAAATTTGGGGCTGGGTACCATGGTTCACGCCTGTAATTCCAGCACTTTGGGAGGCCCAGGCAGGTAGATCACCTGAGGTCAGGAGTTCAAGACCAGCCTGGCCAACATGGTGAAACCCCAACTCTACTAAAAATACAAAAATTAGCTAGGCGTGGTGGTGGGTGCCTGTAATCCCAGCTACTCAAGAGACTGAGGCAGAAGAATCACTTGAACCTGGGAGGCGGAGGTTGTAGTGAGCCAAGATTGTGCCATTGCACTCCAGCCTGGGCCACAAGAGCAAAACTCTGTCTCAAAAAAAATAAATAAAAATAAATAAAAAGCAATGGAAATTTGGAGAAAGAAGTGGTGAATCAGCCTCTCTCTTCCATACGCTATATTTTATTGGAATACGAGTAAGTATAAGAGTAATATGAGAAATGGGGGAGGGGGTGATTCTAATCATCAAAATGGAATCTGACTCTCCAACTGCAGCAATGCTCATTCCAGTGGGTTGCTTCACTGTGACTCAAGATCTGTCAAATGAGGACATAAGGGAATTTGAATAAAGCCAAGATACACTCCTGAAATAAAATTAATCTTCCCATAGATCTAACAGAAGATCTAACGAGAATCAACCTCTAAGAAAGTTGGAGGTTGATTCTAAATTGATTCTAAAATACTTTTTTAAATGAATTATTGCTCATGCAAAAATTCAGGAAGGAATTCTAGGAACTTATTTTCCTAATGGCACATTCCATTTATCTATTGGTAAAGGTCACTGAAATACATTACTAGGTGTCTATGTATCATTCCCCTGTTCTCCGTTTATGACCTTATTCTTCAAAAATAAAATTGAAACCATCAATTACATATATCCTTCCTTTCTCAAAATAAATACAAATACAATTGAATCCTTTAATAAAATATGCCTACTATGCTATACGGCAAACAACCCTGGCAAATCCACTGCGTTATGAACAAAAGTAAATTAATAGTCGCCCTCAAAATGTAACTATCCATTTCTCCCCAACCAAAGGGAAAAGAATTTTCCCAACTCCTCTAATTATAGGCCAAAAGAATTTGAAAATACAGAAAAAATATTATAGAAGCTTATGTAAATGTCAAATGCCAATATTTCACTAATAACCAAGATTTCCTATTGCATTGACTTTTAATTATATCAAATCATGAATCTTTTAGGGCACAGAAAACAAAGACTAAATGGTTCTGTCAATTTACAATGATCATATTTCACCTTTAGAAGTGTGATCACCATGGAAGCAACGAATTCCATGTTTCTCCACTGATTAAACAAATCCTGCACTACAGGCATAATCGGCTAGTTTCCGCCACCACTCATACACATAGGCCTCCAACGCACTCTACAAGCCAGGGCTAGGCTGTCTAGAAATCCGCACTGTGTCACACTGCATAAGGCAGCTTCCCACTGCACACATCCATAAAGCCACCTAAGCACTCTTGTCAGAGCTTAGCAAGGCTGCAAAATGACAGAAGTTCCTAACCAAATAGCAGGAAGCAACCATCACCACCTTTAAAAATCATTTAAGCAGTTTTCCTCTCCGCCATCTCACTTCCCCCCGCCCCCGCTCCTCCTCCTCCTCCTCCTCCTCCTCCTCGTCATTCTTTCTCTCTCTCTCTCTCTCTCTCTCTCTCACACACACACACACACACACACACACACACTCTGCAGTTCATCCCCAGCTTTGCAAGTGACATGCTGGGCGCTCTAGACTGACAGCCGGCCCAGAACTCATTCAGAGCCCTCAAATACAGACATTCTCACCTGAACACGCCAGACAACTTCCACCTGCACCATCACCTCCACCCTCCCCGACACACACACACTGGCTCTAGCAAGCTCTCCCCACGTCAATCCCCGAGCTGCAGAAAGCCCAGCAGGCTCACTGCAAGCGCAGCACGCGTTTCCACTTATAAGCCGAGTTGGGCGGCCTAAGCTCCAGAAACCTCCTCCTCATGCAGCCCACCTCCACCACCCCAACCCAGCTGGACCCCTGGCCTGCCAGGTGGGATGCGCTACCTTTAGACTGGCAGTCCGCACAAAACTTATTATCCTCCTCCAGCAGCAGGTTGGCCAGGACAGCCTGGTACCGATCCACGTCCTTCACCGACTTGCCTGTCATGGCCAGGGTGCCGGCGGGGGCAGAGGGCGACGCGCCCTCCTCGCCCCCAGAGACCCCTGCCTCAGTCCGGGGGTGAGGACTCCCAGTGCCCTGCCCAGGGGTACCTCCTGAGCGGGAAGAGCCTTCTCCGGCGTGGCCGGGCGCCCCTTCCCGGGTCGGCGGCGTCCGGCCCCCCACTCCGCAGCCCCTCTGAGCGGCGCCCCCTGGCGGGCTTCGGGACAGGCCCGCGTCCAGGAGAGGCTGCAGGGCCAGGGACCCTCAGCCGAGGCAAAGGAAGACCTCGGGCCTCCTGGGTGCCTGACGCAGAAATGACCCTCCGGCCGGCCTGTCTGCTGGCCGTGTGTCCCGCGCCCCGGTTTCCCTGGCAGCTGCCACCAGCTCCACCACCACCTCCGCAGCCTACTTCCGGCAGCTCTTCCTCCCCACCTCCACCCTGCCCAGCCCGCGCATGCGCCCCGCCCCCACGGCGCCGCACTGGGCTCTTCCTTCGGCTCCGCCTCTCGGGAACCAATCCGGGGAGAAGCGGGGGGCGGGGCTTCGGTGGGGGCGGAGGGAAGGGGTGGGCACTCCCCCTGCGTGTCCTTGGAAGAGAATGAATGGAGCCTGGTAGAAAAGGAGTGGAGGGAATGGAAGAAAGTGAAGGAAGACAACAACTAACATTTACTGAGCTCTTACTATGCGCCAGGCACTGTATTAAGCGCCTTATATGAATTATCCCAATATAATCCCCACAACAACACTATGAATTAAATACTTATCATCCTTATGTAACCTGAGGGTTGTGGATAACCCAAAGTCCTCCAGCTTGTTTTTTCCAACAGCCAAATGGAAGAGTACCAGGATACAGGAACGTCACCCCCTCCCCAGATTTTCAGAGGACTCTGGTCACCTCTCACTTGGAATACCTGCTCCCACTAATACTCTAGCTCTCCTCTGTGACTCCCACCATTTTTGGTTATTGTTTGGCCTGGTGCCCAGACAGTTTGCTTCTTCCATTTCTTAAATTCTCACAAAACAGTGACTTTTGTGTAGGAGACTTTTACTGAACGTTATTTGGGAAGGGTGGGGGGACGGTGATTAAAGCATAACACAGATCAGGCAACTACTTGAAAATGATTATTAAGCATCATTGTCCAAAGCCACCCTTGCTACAGAGAATTTCTCATTGGCTGTCCTTTTCCTTAGGAATCCACCTGCCATCTGGCTTGTGTTTTCATTCATTCATTCACTGAGCACAAAGTTACTGAGAAATTTCTAAGTATCAGGCACTACATTAGGGGAAAGGGAAACAGCATGATCCAATTTGCACCACTGCACTCCAGCCTGGTGACAGACCGAGACTCCGTCTAAAAAAAAAAAGAAATCACTCTGGCTGCCATGGAAATAATGAATCAGAGAAGATAGTAAGCAGATGCAAAGAGTTATCTAAACTCTAGTGAAACACTCTCCTCCATTTCTTTATTTTCTCCCGGGATCCCCTCAAAGCTTTCATCTCATCAGAGGAAAACTAAACATTTCTATTACTTTATTTTATTTATTTATTTATTTATTTATTTACTGAGACAAAGTCTCACTCTGTCGCACAAGGTAGAGTGCAGTGGTGCAATCTCAGCTCACTGCAACCTCCGCCTCCTGGATTCAAGCAATTCTCTGCCTCAGCCTCCGAAGTAGCTGGGATGACAGGCACCCACTGCCACGCTCAGCTAATTTTTTTTAGCAGAGACGGGGTTTCACCATTTTGGCCTGTCATTGAACTCCTGACCTTGTGATCCACCCGCCTTGGCCTCCCAAAGTGCTGGGATTGATTACATGCGTGAGCCACTGTGCCCGGCCTCTATTACTTTATTAATCAGAACAATTGAATTTTCTAAGGCTAAGCCTCTTCCCTTCTAGTCATGCCTAGGAAACCTCACTTTTAAAAACACACAAGTGGGCCGGGCGTGGTGGCTCAAGCCTGTAATCCCAGCACTTTGGGAGGCCGAGGCGGGTGGATCACGAGGTCAAGAGATCGAGACCATCCTGGTCAACATGGTGAAACCCCGTCTCTATTAAAAATACAAAAAATTAGCTGGGCATGGTGGCGCATGCCTGTAATCCCAGTTACTCAGGAGGCTGAGGCAGGAGAATTGCCTGAACCCAGGAAGCGGAGGTTGCGGTGAGCCAAGATCGCGCCATTGCACTCCAGCCTGGGTAACGAGTGAAACTCCGTCTCAAAAAAAAAAAAAAAGAAAAGTAAAAACACACAAGTTCAGGACATGCAGTGGCTCATGCCTATAATCCTAGCACTTTGGGAGGCTGAGGGTAGATCACAAGGTTAGGAGTTCTAGATCAGCCTGGCCAACATGGTGAAACCCTGTCTTTACTAAAAATACAAAAATTAGCTGGGCATGGTGGCAGGCACCTGTAATCCCAGTTATTCGGGAGGCAGAGGCAGGAGAATCACTGGAAACCCGGAGGCAGAGATTGCAGTGAGCCAAGATCATGCCAGTGCACCCCAGCCTGGGGGACAGAGGGAGACTCTGTCTCAAAAAAAAAAGAAAGAAAGAAAGAAAGAAAGAAAGAAAGAAAGAAAACCCATACAAATAGGTATTACCATCACTATTTTCAGTTGAAACAAACAATCAAGATTAGCCAGTTGCTGGGTGTGTCGGCATACCTGTAGTCCCAGCTACTCAAGAAGCTGAAGCCAGAACATCACTTGAGCCCAGGAGCTGGAATTCAGCCTAGGCAACGTCATAAAAATCACCCTTCCAACCCCCAGTGTACCCTATTACCCTGTCTCTAAAAAAAAAAAAAAAAAAAAAAAAAAAATCCCAGTTAATTGTGGTGAATGGTGATTGTGCCTTAGTTCAAGCCCTCCTCATCTTCATCCCTTCACTCTGCAAATAGCCTTCCTGCCTTCGTCTAAATCTGGTTAAATTTATCCTTCACCCTGCTCTTCAGAGGGAGCTTTTAAATGCCAAATCTGATTGAATCACACTCTTCTGCTTAAAAATCTTTTAGTGGCTCTCCATTGCCTATGGCAGTGTTTCTCAAATTTTTCCACCTAGTGAGGGATCTCATGGTTTTGTGGTTAAGCACACAGACTCTGGGGCAAGAATGCTTAGGTTTTAATCCTCAGCTTTTACCACCTATTATCTGCATGACTTTGAGCAGGTTACTTAACCTCTTGGTACCTCAGTGATTTCATCTGTAAAATGGGAGTGATGATAACATTAATAGTAGCTATTTCACAAGATTATTATGAGGCTTAGCTGAGATAATGCCTCCAATATAATTAGAACAGCCCTTGGCACATAGTGAATGATTGACAATTAGTGCTCTTCACTAAATATTTCTGGTGTTTTGCCTTCTGAGAACACGGTAGGATTTTATTTCCTGGCCTTCAAGTGATTGGGAAAGACCGATGAGTTTGAACAGAAAGGATGTATCACTTTGTGTCTGAAGCATCTATTTGCTGCTTTGAGACTCTTCTTCTCTTTCCCTCTGGCATGGCAACCATCAACGCTGAAGATGTTGGTTGCTCTATTAGCCTGGATTTCTGTGTAGTTGATAAGCAATAGCTCTCTGCCAGCTGCCAGGCCATAAAGGATAACAGCATAAGCAAGAAATAAGCATTGTGTTGCCATTGAGTTTTGTTTGTTTGTTTACTACTGTATAAGCTAGCCTATCCTAACAGATACATCAAGCATTAGCTCTTTTAATTATCATTACTAATAGCAGAGTAAAGTGAGTGCATAGCACAGGGTCTGAGGATATTAAAAAGCAGACTGCTCTTCCTAAGTACACTTTTTTTTGTTTTTTGTTTTTTGTTTTTTGTTTTTATTGTCACTTTTTTTTTAAGTATTGAATTTTGCTTTGACAAGTCTCACAAAAATGTTCACTCTATTCCATCACGTACATGTTATCCTATCATAAAACTGTTTCACATTAATTATAGAATTTTCTTTTTTTTTTTTTTTTTTTTTTTTTTTTTTTTTTTTTTTTTTTGAGACTGGGTTTCGCTCTTGTTACCCAGGCTGGAGTGCAATGGCACGATCTCGGCTCACCGCAACCTCCGCCCCCTGGGTTCAAGCAATTCTCCTGCCTCAGCCTCCCTAGTAGCTGGGACTACAGGCGTGTGCTACCATGCCCAGCTAATTTTTGTATTTTTAGTAGAGACGGGGTTTCACCATGTTGACCAGGATGGTCTCGATCTCTTGACCTCTTGATCCACCCGCCTCCGCCTCCCAAAGTGCTGGGATTACAGGCTTGAGCCACCGCACCCGGCTAATTATAGAATTTTCTATCTGTCCCAGTGGCTGCTGAGCATAATTATAGAATTTTCTATCTGTCCCAGTGGTTGCTGAGCATAGTTTGGTAGCATCGTATCTAATAGATTTCCAAAAATTGGAATGAATTGAAGAATCCTGACCCCACATTTCGTACGCAGCTTCCAGATAATTTCTCATCTTTATCTTGTGTGTGTGTGTGGCAGTAGAATTTATTAAATGTGCCCTTTTAAAAAATTATTTGAAACAGAGATGGAGTCTTGCTATGTTGCTCAGGGTGGTCTTGAATTCACAACCTAAAGCGATCCTCACACCTTGGCCTCCCAAAGTGCTGAGATTATAGAGATGAGTCTAAAATGTGGCTTAATATAGGCACCTGGTCTTGACCATGGTGCTCTTAATATATAAAGCTCGGATGCCTTGGCAATTTTTCTTGAGTAATGACACCAGGAAGTTGTTAGCCAGGTGAATGTTATGTACAAGCTCATTGTCATCTTCACAGGGCCAACAGCCACAGCCAGACATAGCAGCTTCTTCAGCTGAAACTCGGTTGTGGACTTCACTTCAACCACTTTGGCCACCATGTTTTTGTTGCATGTCAGCAGGGAAGGGAACTTACCCACCTTATTTAGACCTGGGCTGAGGATTCATGAGATCCTCTTGATCAGAGACTCTGAGGCTAAAACACATCATGCTTCTTCAACAGCTGCTTGATCAATTATTACTAATATTCTTGTTGTGTTTTTCAATGTCTCAATGCCTATGTGGAGGATAGCCACAGCTTTGGACCATATATATATATATATATATATATTTTTTTTTTTTAGACAGGGCCTCACTCTGTCACCCAGGCTGGAGGGCAGTGACACAAACACAGCTCACTGCAGCCTCAAATTCCCGGGCTCAAGATATCCTCCCACCTCAACCTCCTGAGTAACTGGGACTACAGGCGCATGCCACCATGTCTAGCTAATTTTATGCATTTTTTTGTAGAGATGGGGTTTCCCCATGTTGCCCAGGCTGGTCCTGAGCGGCTGTAATCAAGCAATCCTTCTGCTTTGGCCTCCCAAAGTGGTGGGATTACAGGCATGAATCACTGTGCCTGGCCCATCTAATTTTTATTTAATAAATTATTTTCTATTTGTAGAAATAGGATCTGGCTATGTTGTCCAAGCT